CCTTGAAGTGGTGAGATGCCAGATCTGGGAACAACTGAAAGAAGTATGCATCTCTGTCTGGATCCACACCTCCCATGTGAAGCTAGCTCCTGAATTACCCAAATTGCAGTATCTTGGGCTTTTTACAACACTACCAGTCAGGAGGCTTGTGTTTGGGGGACTAATCATAGGCTGACTCTTACCGAGGTTATGTAATGAGACTCTTAAGAGCCCTAAGACTCCTGACACCAGGTACTTGGTTCCTGGTTTAGATAAATGGTGGGCTTGTAGTACAAACCTGACACCTTGCGTTTTTAATGACACCAAAGATTACTGTGTGCTTGTACAACTGGTAACTAGGGTCTTTCATCATCCAGCTAACACACCTGAAGATGAGTTTGACAAGCACCCAACTCACTTTAGACAAGAACCTATTTCTCTGACACTAGTGGTAATCCTGGGTGTCGGGATAGCTGCCGATGTTGGGACAGGTACTGCTGCCCTAATACAGGCCCCTCAGTACTTTAATGAATTAAAACTAATTACCTTCATTAGGGAAAGAATAAGTGCTGTTCAGATTTTGATGTTATGCCACCAATATTGCGCTTTACAAGGTCAAGAAGATATTGAAATCTAGTTCTATGATCAGAACTAGGTACTAGAAGACATGGGGAGATGAAAGACCCAGATAAATCCATCTAGGTGGAAGAAAAGAGCCAAAAATCTAGGATAGCCAGTTCAGTGACTCTGTTTCAGGAACTAACTGAAGATAAAGTTAGATTATAATCTTGAGAAACAGGGAGCTACCCCCTTGTGATTATCACTGGTATTTTTGGAATTTTTCAATAAGCACTGGTATTTTCAGAATTTTACTGGGTTGTGGTTTCTTCCCTTAAATACCCCTTCTCCCAGCTACTCGGGTTCTAACTGTCTACCCCTACGTGGGAAATGAGTTTTGATCCCACTACACTGGTTCCTCTCCTGTCAATAAACCTTGTGTGATTGCAACAAGGATGGTCACTTGTGAGTTTCTGGGGCGTCGTGTTATCTGAGACTTGAGTGAGAGTCTCCCAACTCCAGAAATCTTTCACCAGTTCTCATGACTTAGCTAAATAAATGGTATGATTGTTGTTTGGCTAAGGAGACTGCATGAGAAAGCTCTAGTTCTCACAACTTAGCTAAATAGACTGTGTGATTGTTGCTTTTGGCTGAAGAAACTGTGCGACAAAGTTCCAGTTTCTGGTTGAGCAGATACAGCCCCACTTCCTCCTTTAGTTTTAGTTCTTAAAAATGAAATCATTTGTATAGCGGTCTTTGGATTCATTGACTTGTTCCCCTTTGTCCTTAAAGTATTGATGGTCTGAGACAGTTTGGGAAGGGAAATAAGATGAATAAACTTATTGGAAAACATAATATAAAGCCTACACATTTGAAATTATCAATATTGATGAAATGGCTGAACAGGATTCTCTAATTTCCAGAGACTGGGAAAGCAGACGTGTCTCACTGTCGAGAAAAGTCTAAGTTTTTAAAACATTTTAAATGCCATATTTTATAGTTCTTTGAATTTTTGAAGATTATCTATCTAACTGAAATATATCTATGTATTTAGAAAACTTACCTAATGTAATTAAAAGTTTGGTTATTAAAGATGACCATCTATTAATCTATATTTCTTAATTATACATTATAGTTTTAAATGAATTCCACAAACACAATAACTTAAGAGCAAAAAATCACATACATAGTATAGCAAAATTGACCTTAAAACTGTATCAATATAGCAAGATCCATACCAATGCAAAGTATTCGTCTCTATATCATATTATCCCTTAAATGAAAACAAACATTTATAGATAATCATTATGGGAATTTGGGTGTAGTTTTCTCCATGCTGCTTCCTGTTATTTGTTGTTAAGGTTCACAGACCTTCGGGGCAGGGCAGGGGGGAGTCTTGTTCCATCAAATCACATTAGCCTGGAAGGAATCCACAGGTTCCAATTCTCTGCAGAAACAAAAGCAGAATATCTTTTCCAAAGTAACATATCCTTGGGCTCAAAGTTTAAGTAAAGATATCTTTAAAATATGTATGTTGGCTTAGCATAGCAGCGCCCGGAAACAAATACCTATCTGCTGTCAAAAACTTCAAAGAAAACACAATAATATACATAATTCAGACTCTGTATATTTCATCTTTATATCTCCTCCAGCCTGGCTACATTCTGCCCTGCTACAGGTCAAAACAGCTTTATTCATTAACCAATAAATAAGAGCAACACTTGTACAGAATGATATGCAATATCAAGTAAGGATTTAAAATAGATTATAGTATAACTTGATAAGAATTTTTGCTTTGCTTATTACAAATTAAGAATTAACCTTTAAGATTTTAAATTGTCTGGTCATGAGAAAATATTAAAGTCCTCTCCTCCTCTGCTTAGTTAAACTTTGCTTACTTGCTCCTAGATCTGTGATCATTGAGTTTTATGATTATAACTTTTCTAGGATGTTTTTATTCATGTTGGAAAAACAGTCACGTATTAGATATTTTTTTTTCGTATTAGATATTTTTGAAATGCAAATATAGATTGGTATAATCATTGTTGTAAGATATGAAAATAAACTCTGTTGTCTTGGAAAGAGATATACATATATTCTCTCTTGTAGATTGCCTCCTGAGCACAGTGAAAACAAGATATTCCTAGAGACTTAGAAAAAGATTTAAATTGCTGTCTGGTGCAACTTCTTTATATCACTTGCTACATCCACCCTTTTCAAATCTTGATCTCTGCTGGAGCTGATCCCTGGCAATACATGCAGGCAAAATACACATGAAACACTTAAGAGAAATTATCAGCCTTAAACAGCTGTCGATTGTAAGGGACTGGTGAAAGCAGCCATGTAGGAGAGAACTGACTGATGTAGCAATGTAAGTTACCTGACAGGTCTGGGGTGACCCTGGTTCCTTTGTTTATAATCTGTCATATTCTCTTCTCTCATTTACCTCAGAGGTAGGAGTGACTGAGATTTCCTATCATAGTTGTGAGACCAAGATGTGAGTAGTACCTAAGAATGATAATGGTATGTTCTAAATAGGACTTACTAGCATTATAAGTGTTTTTGGAAACTGCTTAGTGAAGAAACAGGAGTTAAGAACATGGCCTCTGGAGCTAGACTGCTTTGAATGAATCTGAGCTCCAACAAGGAACTATGTACCTAAGATTTCTTAGTTTCTCTGAGCTTCCATTTCTAAAAACTAAATCTATAGAACTGCAATATCACTTCTCAGTATGTACTTGAAAATGCAGGGCACGAGAGATGGCTCAGTGGTTTGAATCCCTAGCTGCTCTTCAGAAAATCTGCATTTGGTTCTTAACACCCACGTGAAAGCTCATCAACATCTTTGACTCTAGTCCCAGGGCACTTGACATCTTCTACTGGTCTCCAAGGACGTCAGGTATACATGTGGTACAGAGACATACATGCAGGCAAAACACCCATAAAGTTAGTAGCACCAGCTACTAACTTCCTGGGACTAAATGAATTAACAACCCATTATGTGCTTGGCACAAACCTGAGCATCTGATAAGTGCTATGAAAGTTTTTTTTTTATGTGCCTCCTTGCCTCAGTAGTGACATGTTATAGATGTTATCTCCTGACCCCTGTGTATAAGATCACCAGTCACAGAGTTTTAGGTGTTACTAACTATTCCTTAGGAGGGATGAGTGTGTAGATGCAAAAAATAAAATTCTTAGCTCAGAGAGATAGTCTGTTCTTGAGCCAATTATGAGTGATAATGGCCCAGCCACGTGGACTCAAATAGTCTAAAAAGGCATGCTTCACTGTTGAAAATCACATGATTTTCTTTTTAAAACTACTACTTACAGAACAAAGAAAGTCACAAAATCAAGGCATTTACCAAATGGCACAGACTACAGGTAGGTGAATTTCAGCAAAGTGGGTCAAACTTACAGGTTTTAGATGCTGATGAGATTTAAAGGAAGCTAACAATACATTTTATATTTTATCATTATTATTTATGGTCATTTTGCCTGCACATATGTCTGTGCACCATTTGTGTCATTTCTCTGCAGGGGCTAGAGAAGTCAACTGAGCTCCTGGAACTGGAGTGACAGACTGTTGTGAACCACTGTGTGGGTGCTGGGAACTAAACCTGGGTGTTCTGGAGCGTGCTCTTAACCAGAGTCATCTCTGCACCTCTATTAAGAATGCATTTGTGAGTTCGAGACCAGCCTGGTCTACAAGAGCTAATTCCAGGACAGGCTCCAAAACCACAGAGAAACCCTGTCTCAAAAAAAAAAAAAAAAAAAAAAAAAAAAAAAAAGAATGCATTTTAAAGGTTTTCGTTAAGTATGAGGGCATTATGTTTGACACTTGTTGGCAATAAATGGCTTCCAAAGAACGTAAAAAGCCCAAGGTAATTTAGCTCTCCTCTGCAATTTTAACTCTTCATAATCACGAAATTAAATTATTTAGTATTGTAGAATCTTTAAAACCGTGCAACATCCTTTTTTCCCTTAAGAAGTCGGGTTTACAGGAGTGTGTGTGTGTGTGTGTGTGTGTGTGTGTGTGTGTGTGTGTGAGAGAGAGAGAGAGAGACGCGGTGGTGCGTTAGGACACTACGGGGTGAGTATATTGTGGGTCGCAGACCACCTGGCACACCTCTGAAAGCCAGCAGACTTTGCTTACTGCGAGTGTTTAGGCTGGCGAGACGCGGACAACCGACCCGCATGGAAAGTAGCAGAGACCGCGGGTTCCGTACCTGTCCGAGCGGAAGGGACCGAGTTCGGCCGGCTCAAGGCTGCGCGTGTCCATAACAGGAGGTTGGCCTTCGCCCCCTTAGGGCAGTGAGCGCCGCAGGTCGAGCGCCTTCCGCGGGCGTCGCCACACACTTCCTGTAGGTCCCAGCGCCCGCCGAGCGTTTCCGGTGCCGGCTGAAGTCGGGGTCCGAGCCCCCGCCCCGCCCCTCTCCGGCCCCTCCCCGCGCGGCCGCGGCCCCGCCCCCGCGCTCCAAGCCGGGCGCGCGGAGCCGGGGTCGCACGGAGCGGTGCGAGCCGGTGGCCGAGCCAGGCTGGCGCCCGCGCCCCCCGCCGCACCGCCGCCGTCACCCGCCGCGCAGCCCACGGGGTGCCCTTCCCGCCGCCCCGGCTCCGGCACCCGGGCCTCCGGTCGTGGTGTCGTCGCCCTCCGCTCCGCCGTCCCGCCCGGGCCGCCCGGCTCCCGCAGGCCCCATCGCCCTCGTTCCTATGGACAGACGCACAGACACCTGCCGGTGGGTGAGAGCCCGCGCGGGGCTGGGGAGCAAGCGTGCGCGGGGCCTCTTTGTGTGTGTGCGGACGCGCCGTGACCCGCAGAGCCCTTCTTTTGTCTGCTGGGGCCAGCGAGGTGGGAGGGCGCTAGGGGCGGAGGAGTTTGCAAGCGCAGAACCGGGCGCGCGCTGGTTCGCGGCCCGCAGCGTCTCAGAGGGGACGGTCCCTGCACCAGTGTCCTCCAGCCGGGCGGGAGGGCGGGAAGGAGGAGGGATGGTTTGCCCTGCTAGTTGCTGAGTCTGAGGCGCTTCGGGGCTCTGCCCGGCTAGCTTGGTTGTCGGGAGGCACCGGGAGGTGCTTGTGGGGTGTATGAAGGAACGAGTGGCCCTTCGCTCCCTTATTTATTGTTTCTAACGGAGGAGGGCTTTCTCCCAAAGGTTCCCCGCAATCTGAGGCTGCGCACAGTGTTGTGTGTTTGTTATCAAATAGATCAAGAAAGCTAGTCCTGGGGAGAGGAGGTTGGGTTGACCAGATCAAAACAAACAAAAAAATGTGGTTTTCTTATAGCTATCATTAATTTTAGTATGTAAAGGACAGATAGTGATTTAAATTGAGGAAACTGAACATGACTGATTTTTTTTTTACACTTGTATCTATTTTCATTTTGAAGTTTTGGAGTAAAGTTTGTTTTTTTTTTTTTCTCATATTCGTTAGGATTAGCACCGATAGAATGAATAGTCTACCCATTACATAGTTTACTGGAGTGTCAGGTAGTGACTTTACAGTAGGACTTGATTCTTTCCACACAGGCTAAAACCTTGAGACTTTTCACAGCTGATGAGAACGTGATGTTAGAAGTGATTTTCCCACTTTACATTCTACATGATGCATTCATGTATTCCACGCATACAAACCCAGGATTAGGTTGTTGGGTATGGTGGATATAGTGTTTTGAAAGGTGTAAAGTCGTAGTTCTAATTTTTCTTGTTTGATTAGCTTGCTAACTTCGTGAACAGTTGCTGTGTCTTCATAGTCAAATAAAGAATGTAAACATTCATAAAATTTGTTTCACAGACTGTTTCCTATGTAGATATGGGGTTATGTCCTTATGTTAATTTATTTCTCACTTTTAGAAAATTATTTATTGCCTACTGTGTTGTTTTGACACAAAAGTCTGTTACCTAAGAGGTATTTTTGTTTTTTGGGTTTGTTTTTGTTTGTTTTGTTTTGTTTTTAATAGTTTTGAGGAGTACTAAACAATGCTGGGTAGAGCCATTTGGAGAAAGTGGGAGCCTCCTTAAAAAAATACTAAATTTGAAGAAAAATATCATGGTGGAGAAACTACTTAAATTTCCATTAAGTTATTAAAAATTCAAGAAAAAATACAATTCAATGCACTTTTATTCAAGTACTTTTTTTATCATAGAAAGAGTTTAATATGCTTAAAATAGTGATTTTTGTGGGAGAAAAATTTACCCTAGATTCTTGACCCAGTTACATTAGATTGATGATGTCGCATACTGAATTTTTATACATTTGTACACACTTAATGTCTAGAAGCAGCTTTATCTACCATAGTTGTTCAGGTTTTATTATGTCCTGCTGTTATTTTCTGTCTAGATCAGGTAAATGAATTTAACCTACACAAAGGCACAGAACTTAGTGTGTTGCTTCTAGTCCACTCTGATCGAAACCTCTCCTCTTTCCTTTAAGAACAGCTTAAGGAGTCTGTAATTAGGGTTGGTGTTATTTCCAACAGGGAGTTCTAGAACACCATCAGAGTTGCAGCTCTTTGTCATTGGTTGAAATGCTAAAAAAGACAGCTAACACACTGATTTGCTTGTGTGTATGTTTGTTAAATTGTCAGTGGTGGTGATAAGACTTAACAGAGCATCTCTCTGTAAACGGAAAACAGCAACAGTGTTTCTGTGTTGGTAGTGCTTTGGCAAAGCAATAGTTGTGCCTGCCGGTTTTCTTGGGTCTCTATCAGCGCTGGCTCTGAGATAATGCCTTGCTTTTTCATTTGCTTTTGATTGGTGTGTAGATGTTAGTAATTTTCTTTCTGTGTAACTAATAATGGTGTAATCAGGAGCATTCCAGAGGGGCTTCTATATTTTTATCTTCTTTTCCTTTTGGTAAGTTGCTGTTTAAGAGAGCCAATAAATTCATTTTTGTCCTGATGCTTCTTTTTTTTTTTAAGACTTTACAACAGATAAATGCTCCTTGCAGACAATTTGAATTTGTATAAATTAGCCTTTAAAATGAAGCTGATATTTAGCTGTATTTTGTTTTCCTAAGCAACACTAAACTGTCCTCAGTTAAATCTGGGAGACTTTAAAGTCTACAGGCTTTTCCAGTACTTCCCCCATGTTCAATACTATCATAATAAAGTAGAAAACTCGGAAGTAACAGATTTGCTCTTTACAAATCTTTTGTTCCTGCGGTGTCGACCTCCACCTACCCCCTCCCTGTAGTTCTGTGTGGCCTGGTAGGGAAGCAAGCCTGAAGGAGAGGTGTGACAGAAATCACCCGAGCGCAAGCCCATGCTGCTTGCCAAAAGGAGAAATTCATTCTTGGATTAATATCCTGGTACCAGATGTATGAGGCTGGCTCTGAAGAAGCTCTTCCTCTTACATACTGTCAGAAATAGACAAGCTGAAGATTGGAGAGAAGCCATTTATTTTGAACAGTTTATTTTGTGACACTTGTGTTTATAAAGAAACCTGCTCATAATATTTACTTGAGAGATCTACATAGTTACCCAAAGACACCCCACAGGTTTCTTTCTTTCCCTTTTTCTTTTCCCTTTAGGGAAGTTTCCACGGAGCTTAGCTCTTCTCTGACACTTCTTGAGTTTGCTTCTGATCTTCTGATTTATGTATGGACTTTGTTTACCACTATGATTGGAGAATTCTTTTGCTAGTCTGAAATTGCACTCTGCTCTGGTCGGTTTCCCAGGAAACAAATGCACTGCCTAGATTCCATAATGAGGACCGTGGTTGGCTAGTGACTGTGTGAATTCTGTTGTTTGTAAAGCTTAGTCTCCAATTCAAATAAAGGTCAAGATAGCAAAAGTACTGAAGATGCAAATTTGGGGATTTTATTTTGTATCCAGCGCCAACAGCATTTTAATAGGCTTATCTGGAGAAGGGCAAGTTCCCCAGCATTGTTCATTTGTTTTACACCTGAAGCAGTTGGGGAGATCTTTCAGTATTTCATACTGGTGATGGTGGGAGCCTTAGTGACAAAGGAGATGTATTCAGAAATGTGTTATCACACTTGCAGACCGTGAAGAGAGTGAAGGCAAGTGTAGAGCTGCTGATGTTTTTATACCGAGAAGGAAGTAACATGTGTATTTCAACACAATTATGCATCTTCTTGTGAAATTGAACTTTAAACATCCTAAAAGTATTTGAGAAACTTCTTCCTCCTCATTCTTCTCCTCCTCTTCTTTTTGCTTTTTGAGTGAGACAGGGTTTCACTGTGTAGCCCTAGCTGTCCTAGAACTTGCTTTGTGGATCAGATTGACCTTGAACTCAGAGAAGCCCCTGCCTCTGCCTTCCAAATCCTGGAGTTAAAGTAATGTACCATCACACCCAGCTGAAAAACTTATTAAAATTTTTAACATAAACTGCTGTATTTATAATCTAGTTGTTTCCCCTGCTTGAATTTTGCCCCAGAACTGCAAGTTAGAGACCAACTTTCTTCTCTTCTTTACTCTCCTCTGGAACTCTGTGGCTTTGGTGACTCTACATCCAGGATGAAAAGCAGTTCATGGTGCAGCTGTTGGTAGGCAAAGGAGGGACAAGAAGAAACTTTTTTTTTTTTTTTTGATTTTCGAGACAGGGTTTCTCCGTAGCTTTTGGTTCCTGTCCTGGAACTAGCTCTTGTAGACCAGGCTGGCCTCGAACTCTGCCTTCCGAGTGCTGGGATTAAAGGCCTGCGCCACCACTGCCCGGCAAGAAGAAACTTATAGAGAACCAGAACTTCACTAAAACCACTGCAAATGCCTTTTTATTTGATGCCGGCAAATTTTTGTTGTTGTTATTTGTGAATCATCAAGGATTCTTTTGTTAGCTTAAACATTAAAGGAAAATACATGGCCAGGTGGTGGTGGCACAGCCTTTTAAATTCCAGCACTTGGGAGGCAGAGGCAGGTGGATCCCTGTGAGTTTAAGGGCAGACTGGTCTACAAAGGGAGTCCTAGGACAGTCAGGACTGTTACACAGAAAAATTGAAAATACTTGTATCTGTTTGTAGTCTCAGAGAATGACCCTAAGTTGTCTCCATTCCTTTTCCTTGCTAACAATGTTGTTTTTTGTTTGTTTGTTTTGATTATTCACTTGCATTTTGGTTAGCTTCATTTGATGATGTGGGGGTGATTTAATAATAAAGAAACTGCCTCGGCCCTCATAGGACAGAAAATTAGGTAGGTGGAGTAGACAGAGGAGAATGCTGGGAAAAAGAAGCTGAGTCAGGGATCGCCATGATTCTCCCGCTCCAGACAGACGCAGGTTAAGATCCTCCCTGGTAAGCCAGCTCGTGGGCTATACAGAATATTAGAAATGGGTTAGAACAATATGTAAGAGCTAGCCAATAAGAAGCTGGAACTAGCCGGGCCAGGCAGTGTTTGAAAGAATACAGTTTCCGTGTAATTATTTCGGGGCATAAGCTAGCCATGCGGGCGGCCGGGTGCCGGGGACGCAGCCCTGCCGCTCCTATTGCTACAATTTGAGGCATAAAACTTGTCTTGGCTAGGTTCTCCTGTTGATTTTTCTCAAAGTTGACATGACTTGAATCCTTCATTCCTTTTCTAATTGCAAAACTGTCCCTTCAGTTTTTCTTATAAACATTGTCACAGCTTTTCAATTTTATCACTGCATTATTTAAAGCATAATCATCACTATCAAAACCCCTCTTTTCTGTTGCAGGACTTAATATGTCTAAGTCACAGCTAAGGATGTTTGTGAATTGTATGACTGGCACATGGCCTCCCTCTCTACACTTCCCTAACAGCATCACA